ATTATAGTCCTACGTAAAAAGTTTAAATAAATTTATATCATATACTTTAGAATCGACGAAGAAAAATATTTGACTAAAAATAATAAATGTTACTCATTAAGAATAAAATAATTAAATATACATATAGCTAATTTTCCTATGCCATGCTTCTGTTTTATGTGAAAGAATTAGATTTAGTTGTGTAATGAGTTTGAGTGAGAAAGTTACTCTAACATATATATTGTGATAGTAATTTTTGCATTGCACCATAAATTAAATGTTTACCTATAAAATGTTAATTTTAAACGTTACAATTCTTCGTTCTGGAATTAATTATGGGAAATAATTTTCTATACAAATTACGTACCTATAGAAAATTATATTTACTTTATTGAATTAATTTAATATTAAAGAACGAAATGATGGTGACAAGTCCTATTCATCTAGCTACAGAGAAAACAAATACGGCGTTCCTCAAGGTAGCGTACCAATATCGTTCATATTATATTTAAATGAGTTAAGTAACAAATCATAAAAGTATTTTATTTGCAGATGACATTTCCGTAATTGTTACATCTGATAAAAAGAATAATCATGAAATGGACATTAATAATACAATTGACAACATTTTAGAATGGCTACAAATGAATAAATTAAAAATTAATCTTAAAAAATCAAATTATATCCAATTTAACAAATCTAAACATGCAAAGTACAATTTAAAGTTAAATATATCTCTAAAATTAAAGAAGTGACACAAACCAAATTTCTAGGTATAATTATTGACCAAGACCTAAATTGGAAAAAACACGTAGACGGCTTATGTAGTAGGATAAACGAATTTGTTTATGCCTTAAATCGAATAAAAAGCTTAACTAATAAAAAGACAGCACTCTCGGCCGATCATGCCTATATAGGGTCAATACTACGGTACGAAATCATGTTATGGGGTAACAGTACGAACATAAATAGAGTGTTTATAGCACAGAATCCATCAGAAAACTATGTGACGTCCGCCATGGAAAAACCCGTAAGCAGTTGTTCCAGGCCCGTTCCGTTGATATGTTAACGCTGCCCTCGCTATACATTTATGAAATATGCATCTTTGTAAGGAAACATAAAGAATTGTTTACAACAGCAAACGAAGTCAATAACAGGCCAAAAGGAACCAACATGGACTAGTGCTAAAACACCCCTAGATCTGTAAAGTATAGTATTATTACTAAGTATAGTAATAATACTATACTTTACAGATCTTAATACCCAATAACATGAAAATGCTGGATGACACACAATTTAAAAAAAAAGTTATTCATATAGTTAAAGGTAAATAATTTTTACATCAAAGAATTTTTTTAATAAGATTTAATACTTGACATTATTTTAAATAATTTTAATTTTTTTTTCTACTCTTTATTATAAATTGTGAATTTTAATTTAGAATTGACTGCAACTGTATTCTGTAAACTTTATATAAATAGTAAAGTGAAGTGTATTTGGTTGATATCGCATGCTATATAAAAATTAGCATAACATGTGGTACAGTATTATGATTTGTAACACCTTGTGAAACCATGTTATAAGCAAATAAATAAATAAATTTCGCACCCAGAAGACATTTTATTCATCAACTATAAAAGCGTCATAACGTTATTTAAAAAAGATACTTATGAAGACGTGAAAAAAATTCCTTGCGATTTTCTAGTTAATGTTTACATACTATAACAATGGTAATGTAAGAAAATCTTTTGCACGACTGGGCTGGCTCAACCGGGAAAAAACCACAACCTCATAGAAGATAAACGAAGGTTTTTTTTGTGAGAGTGGCAAGCGAGCTGGAAGCCTGGTAACATCTTTGTATCTTGTACCTTTTTTTTTAACACTGCCCTTACTTCAGGATAACAGCATCATGTGTTGGAAAGGACGTTTTACAACATAAATTTCACGTGGACAAACACCCAGATGCAAAATAATTACCTGTGGGTCACACAAATAGTTGTCCCGCGTGGGAAACGAACCCATGACCCCGACGCCGAAGCCAATACCTTGGCAACTGAACCACTGAGACATAACATCAGGATATCTTACTATACCGTCACCAATTGGTAATTGACCACCCACTGATGAATGAGGTGCCGGTGGCCTATATCAAAAATAAAAATCAAAAATCATTTATACATCGAAATAAGAAACATTTTTTCCGATGGAAATTTCATAAAATCTACCACCGTTACGTAATGATCGGTTCGGTATGTATCCTCTTCAATTTTTGTTCAAGTTTCGTCAAAATATTATCATACATTTTTTTTATTAAATAGCTCGGGAGCGATCAACTCATTCCCAGGACTTATTATCATTAATGTATTCATTTACATTTAAATAAACCTTTCTTTAAAGTTGTTCTGTAAAAAAATTCCCAATTCTGCTATTATATACTATTAACAGGTTCGATATATGTTTATTCAATAATTATTATACGTTTATAATTGAAAATTATATTTATTATAACAAAATTTTGAATTAATCAATAATTAATTGAAATTTCATTCAATCAATTATTGATTAATTAAAATTTTTCAAGAATAAAAATTCTTGAAAACAACAAAAATTAAATGAACGCGATAAAATCCGTAAAGTTAGTTTAATTCTCAACCAATCACATAGTTATACTTCCACAAAAGATAATAAAAAGTTAACATTTCCATAATATTTTTTTTTCTTCTGACGGTTTACATTGTTTACCATATAATAATAGCCAAAATGTATTATGTTTAAATTAATTATAATTCTAAGTTATCAATCAGTCTAATATTATAATGTATCCCTTTATGGCCAACCGCTCCTCTGGGAGAAAAAGGTCAAATACTTAGGAGTCACTTTCTACTCGCGTATGTCATTTACTACGCACATTAATAACGTTCGTAATAGAGCCGCGTTCGTCTCCGGCCGGCTACACAATTTAACTAACGCTAAAAGTAAAATGCCCTTAAGGCACAAACTATTATTATATAAGACCTGCATGATCTTCGCCCACACGCACCCTACTCGCTTGTACAAGCTGCAAATAGTACAAAAAAGGAACTTCGTTCCAATAAGTTCATCCGCCGTGCAACCGGTGCGCAGTGGTATCAACACAACGTCGATCTGCACAGCGATTGCAGACTCCCGACGATTCGCGAATATTTTAAAGACCTGACGAAACGGTTCTTCGATAGAGCCGAACATCATCCCAACCCTCTGGTGGTAACCGCAGGAAATTACCAACCCGACACAAACGCGAACGTCAACAAGCGTCGCCCGCGAAACGTCCTCATCGACCCAGTCGAGGAAGGAGACTTAGATACGCCGGATCCACCGCCGGGGGTCCCGCCGGATAACACTACACCCACAGCTAGTATAACAACAAACACAATAGTTCGCTCTCGCCTCCGAGCACGGCGAGACCAACACAACGCGTACACAAGGTACACCCGCGTTCCAGGGCGGTTCTCACCGCCCCCAGCCACCGATTAGCTAAAAACACAGTCGACGGCCATCGGGGTATCGGTCCGCACCGCAACTTCGATGGCCCTTAGATGGACATGTCGTAGTTAAACGCACGCATGAGCACATGCGCGGCCCTACCCACAGCGGAGGGCCCAAACCCGTGGGTTCTGGCTAGCCCAACGGTTCTGCGTCAGATGAAGCTTTAATAGTCTCGGGACTGAAGGCAAAAACATCAGATACAAGAATACAAGAAAGAATTATAATGTATTCATTTTATACCGTTCCGTACCCAAAGGGTAAAACGGGACCCTATTACTAAGATACCACTGTGTGTCTGTCTGTCTGTCTCACGAACCGTGATAGTTAGACAGTTGAAATTTTCTAGGATAATGTATTTCTGTTGCTGCTATACTAACAAATACTAAAAAACAGAACAAAAAAATATTTAAGTGGGGCAAAAAGCCATACATTATACAACAGACATCGAATGGTACGGTAACGACTCGCACATGACCGGTTTTCTTGTATTCCTTTAGATAACTAAGTACATAATCAGGATGCGATTCAATGTAAAATTTCAATCCACAGCTACCTTTAGATATTAAAAATTGAAATAAAATTTTATCTGCGAAAAAGGAAAAACCAGCGTGTATTCGGTTTTATAATAAAATTACACGGGCACTATCTGTCCGGTATTTTGGCGCTCAAATTGAGCCCTTGTAATTGATTAAAGCCTTTGCCTGTCCTAGATATTTTCACACCAGGAATAGATAGCAGTAAGCGGGCTTTCATCGTCAATGAACACTTTCGGTACTAAATAAAACAAAAGATTATGGGCCAGATTTTTTTATTGAAGAAGATATTGTAACATCATCGATTGACCGCTTTTGGTCTTTTGTGGTTTGAAGAAGAAAATCTGTCAGGAAATTCAGGATTAAAGAACATAGTTCTCGAATTATAATGGAGTATTATTACAATGAACTGATGACAGTAGCTACATGGCTATATGACTAGTATTAGGGACAAAATATTATTATTACTTTACTTACTTATAGACAATTTCGACTACGTTACTATGCAACTGTCGGAAATCAAATGACCAGATTATAACTTATAAAACTGAAATTTGTACATCGGTAACAAGATTGAAACAAAACTTGATCTCTTACAAAATACGAAATACTTCTGGGAAACAACAATAAATGGCAACAGAATAATTCTGAGAACGGAAAAAAATTATGAATTATATCAAAATAATAGCAATAATATCAGTGTATTTGTTTTGTTCAATCTCAAAAGTTCCTTGTAATTTGACAGTAGCAGAAATTAAGTATGGTATTGTGTCTATAGATATTTTTATCGCGATTAGAACTTTGGTAAGAGCCATAAATTATCACATTGTAAAGATAAACCGTAAATAAACACACGTAGTCCATAATTATCTTAAAGACACGTCAGTCGTTTAGTAATATTACAATGATTACAGTGAAAAGGTGATTATTTTATTTATATGACAGCAAGGTGGTTAAAACAATATGAATTTGTTTGTGTGCATTCTATTCTTGCATTGTTTAACTATAATAAGTACGGATGTGATAGTCGAAACCAAATTAGGAAAAATTGCTGGAATAGAAATCCAGTCGATAATACCGAATGAAAAATATTATTCATTTTTAGGCATACCTTACGCTAAACCACCAATTGATGAATTAAGATTTAAGGTAAGTGTTACTCTTATTTTAATTACCTTTACCTAAACATTTCTTACGCTACCACTTGGTTTTTTTTGTGTTACAATTCAACGTTACTGAACTTTTTCACCGTTTAAAATACGCATTTCATTAGAAATTACTATTTCCCTAACATTATATACGTTACTATTATATTTACATTTTAATGAATAACATTTATAATTTTTCAGACCCCAAAACCGCACGAAGGTTGGACCGATATTTTAGAAGCGAAAAAGCAACCAAAAGCATGTGCCCAATTTTATTTACCTATGAGAACTTTTAAAAGGATTGGTTACTTCGGTGACGAAGATTGTTTGTATCTTAGTGTACACACACCGAAACTTCACGAATCAAACTTAAAACTGCCATCAATAGTATTTATTCACAATGAACACTTTCGTATGTCGTATAACGGTTCGAAAGAATATGGTCCCGATTTCTTCATGAAAGAAAACGTAATTATAATAAATGTTCACCACAGACTAGGGGCTCTGGGTTTCCTGTCATTTGAAGATGAATTGCTGCCGGGAAATTATGGCCTCAAGGATGTTATAATGGCGCTTAAATGGGTTCAAGACAACATTTCAAGTTTTGGTGGCGATCCATCTAAAGTAACCTTACTAGGTAGTCAAGGTGGTGGGGTTATTGCCGATTTGTTCTCATTTTCGCCCAAAGCAAAAGGTTTAATTAGCGGAGTTATATTACAAAGTGGGACTACATGGAATCCATTATATATGGATGAAAATCCGCGAAAAAAAGCGAAAGCCCTAGGTGAAGCCCTTGGGGAAACTGTAACAACGAGTCGTTATCTTCTAAGTCGTTTAGCGGACTACTCGGCTCTTCATATTACAGAATCAGAACATTTAGCTGTAGATACGGATGATTCACGCGCAGTACAAAGAGGTTTAGTAGCATTTGGTCCCAGTATAGAGCCTAATCATCCTGAAGCAGTCATAACGGATCTTCCTGAGGATAACGACATCGAGATAAATGTACCGGTAATGATAGGCTACAATTCAAGAGAGGGTATAGAGCTGGAAGAGCGATTGCTACAAAAGCCACAATATCTTACATTCGCAGACAGAGATTTCCTTTTACTATTTCCAATTAGGGTAAAATACCACTTTAAAATCAATGATAAAGTTTACTTCGAAGCCATTGAAAAAATAAAGGAGTTTTATTTTGAAGATGGCTATGTAAAAGTAAGCAAACCCGGTGAATATTTGTCATATATAGCAGACGTTTCTGCATTTTATAGCACAGACTATGCCGTCAGAAAATATACTAACATATCTAATCACCCCATATATTATTATGTATTTGACTATAGTGGTGAGTTGAACATGAGAAAGAAGAATTCGCTAAAAGAAGCTGTTACTATAGATGGCACATGGGGTGCATCCGTCGGAGACGAATTGTGTTATTTGTTCGTCTGCAACCCAAAAAAAATATACAAGAAGTTGTTGGAAGATGAAGATGCGGAAGAAATAAAAGTTTTAAAGAATATGGTTAAGATGTGGGCAAACTTTGCCAGGACAGGGTAAGACAAGAGTATTTTTCAAACGAAATATTTTATTATTTCACAGCTTTACACCTTTTCTGAATTCATAAATGCTATAGCTTCTTAATATCTGAATATTCCTAATTATGTTTATTACTTAAAACAATTAAAACTAAATGAAATAATAAATGAGATTTTTAAATACTTTTGAGAATGTTAATAAGTAATTTAAAACTTTTGAAAATGCCCTATTCAATTCATTTTATTTAAATAAGGATTAAAGGGCTTTGATATGAATTTTCTATTTTACAAAAGATTGTAGGTAAATGAAATAATAGCGTAATAGGTAATTGAAATCCGTTTGATTGATATGTAACTGAGAAAGGCGTTGCCACCTTACACAGGTAATTCGTTAGTGTATGTTTGTTTTAATGTTTTGCGTAAGAATCATTCATTCTTCACGAAGGAACTCGTTACATTTATGTTTTAAATCATTTTAATATTTACAATGTTTCAGTATTTTTTTTGTTTAAGTCAGAAATTAAGCGTAATAACAAAAAACCTTCCCGAGCCCTAATAGTGCATTTTTTTTGTTTTAGGAATCCAACACCTAATGGGGACGAGGTTACTTGGAATCCAGCTACAAAAGAGAATAAGGAATGTCTCGTTATAAGTGATGAACTCAAAATGCATAAAAACTTACACGAAAACGTTGTCAGATTCTGGGATGATTTTATATCTTCATACAGCGAAAAAGCTGTCAACGGCGTAGTTCAAGATAAAAGAGATGAACTTTAAATAAAAAATATGATAATTAATTCATATTAAAAATAAGATTGATTCTATTAAATTTGTACTACATTTCCTAAGATTTTATTTTCTAGCCAAGTGTGAGATGTCACTCTAGCATTTTACCAAAATTAGATTTAAAAATTTTCAAAATTAAGTAATTTTTAGATGCCAATTAGATGCCAAAATCTAAAATTAGGTACTGATATTTTTTATTAAAATTTTCTTGTTCTTAATGCGAACTTCCTGCTAAAGATCAAACTATCAGAGCAACATAAAATAGTAATTAGATGAAAAATAAATAATTTGGTTCTTTGAGGTAGTATTGGTTCTTACAGGTAGTATACTTGTCATTAAAGGAACTTTAAGATATTGTGAGCCTCATTGTGGATGCTGGTAAGGCCACGCAGCAGCCTCGGATGTAGCACGAATGGGCAGGCTCGTCCGGGTAAGTACCAGGAGCTCACAGAAGACCGACGTAAAGTGGAAGTATAATACTTTAGCGTTTCTTTTGTTTCGACGTAAAGTGGAAGTATAATTCTTTGGTCTGGTGAGGTAGCCGGAGCCCAATTTTCAAAAGGTTGTCACCGCATCTGGAACCCTCGGGTGTCCATGGGTGGCGGTATTCACTTAACATCAGGTGAACCGTCTGCTCACTTGACAACTTTTCACATAAAAAAAGCCTCGTGTCGACCTTGAGCATCTCATTGTTTTCAGCGTTTAACGATCACGCTGTGCCTTATAAAAAAAATAAGGAAAAATTTTTACTTAAACTTTATAAACAGAATAAATAAAATACGATAAAAGTCTTTATGCGTATGTAATCTCCTAGAAGCTTCTTCCATCATTATAAGATTTTGTTCATTGTTAAAATCATATATTGTACTTGTCAACTTGTTTTTCCAGCCTACAAGACGGTGGTTGACGGTGTCAAGTGCAAGCTAAATGTTTAGACTTTAGATACCATTTTTACAGATATCAAACAATTGCACAGATTAATAATTCATCTCGTTCTGAATATTCCGGACAGCTTGTCACTTTCTCTCAGGAGAGTAAAATCCGAGTGACTAGGAAAGCTATAATTTTTATAATAAATAGGTATGTATCTAAAGGAGTTGTGTGTGATTATAATTAAATACATTAATAATAATAAACACTGGGAATGAGTCGATCGCTCCAAAGCTATTTCTAAAAAAATGTATAAAGTTATAAACGTTTTGAAATTATTGTCGTGATGAAAAAATGACAAAAATGTGATACGTGTGGAGTTTCTTTCGCCTGTTTCTTCTCCTTTAGAGAATCCTCATTAAGACACAGTGGAAGATTTATATCGTTGCTGGAGTAAATTGAATGATAAATTGAAAGGCGAATGTCCGGACACTGAGCTACTCGTGTCACGACTCACATTTGAATTAAATAAAAATTTTGTTCCTTCCAGTTCAGAAAACTCCTATAAAGATATGTGGCGACTCATTTGCTACTGTGTAGCACCGCTCTTATCTTTTACACCCTTACTCTCATCGGTCTAGCATTACCCTATTATTGACAAATTTCTATAGCAACTAGTGACAATAAAAGATTATGTTTTTCTCAACACGGCTTGTTCTTTGTACTGCATCTTAATTATTCCCTCCTGCCGGCTCCCAAACTGGTGACCCCGACGTGATGTGATAAATATGCGCAATATCGGAGCCCACGTCGCTACGCTCTGCAGTTTCGCTCGGAAACAACAATTTCCGCGATAATCGAGGTTTGTTCCATTCTGCGACGCCGCCTAGGTACGCTTCCTTCTTTTTGTTTTTCCCTCCGTGCAGAGAAGTCTGCTAGGGAGACTAGAAAAGCCAACTGCGAGTGAGACTATGGTATAGCCTGCGAGGGAGATTGTACAGAACAGCCATGAAGCTATAATCGCAACAACTGTAAACGCATCTACGATAATCTACATCGCTATTGGACTCGTATTTTGTCCATTCTATGTAGCGCTGAGCCGGCATTTTTCGCATCGAGGCCGGCCATTTTTCTTTCTCTACCGGAGCTACGTCATCTTTGACAAGGAGGAAGTTGAAAAGCGCGCCACGCGCGGCAATCACCCGCAACATTGTGTCAGGGGACTAACAGCTCTCCACTGATACTTCGCGACGGATGCTGCGTTTACACTCGTTCAAGTGAAAGTTTAGTGCTATTTTACACTTAAGATAGTATGATTTTATGTTGTATTTAGACTTACTTTACTTTTCTACCAATTTTATTATTACGTTTGCTGCGCAATACTGAAATTGTTTCGTTTGTGTATTTACCGATTTGTTCCACTGCGTGTATGTGTAAAGCGTTTTTTGCGATTTGACCGTTTCTGATTTTACCTTTAAACCATGGCGAGTCAAGGAGAATCTAACGTTTCAGAGGGCCACGTTGGCAACGAGGGTGATGCTACTGCACTAGTCGGTGGCAGTCCCATTTACGTAAACAGGGTCGCAATTAGGACCCCGCCTTTTAGCAAGGATCGGCCCGCATTGTGGTTTGCTAGCCTAGAGGCGCAGTTCCACATTAACCAAATTACCGTCGAAATGACGAAGTTTCATTTCGCCGTGGCGCATTTAGATACCGAGTGTACGAAGGAGGTCGAAGATATTATCACACATCCTCCCGAGTTGCAACCATACACAACTTTAAAAAGCGCAATCATATCTAGATTTTCCGATTCCTTCGAGAGAAGGTGCGGCGCTTACTAGAAAAGGAACAGTTAGGTGACCGCAAGCCATCTTCGTTCATGCGACACTTGAAGAGTCTGGCTGGGCAATCGTTCCCCGCTGACTTGCTGCGATCAATTTGGGCCAATCAGCTTCCCCGGCAGGTTCAAATTGTGTTGGCAGTTCCACATTAACCAAATAGAGGCGCAGTTCCACATTAACCAAATTACCGTCGAAATGACGAAGTTTCATTTCGCCGTGGCGCATTTAGATACCGAGTGTACGAAGGAGGTCGAAGATATTATCACACATCCTCCCGAGTTGCAACCATACACAACTTTAAAAAGCGCAATCATATCTAGATTTTCCGATTCCTTCGAGGAGAAGGTGCGGCGCTTACTAGAAAAGGAACAGTTAGGTGACCGCAAGCCATCTTCGTTCATGCGACACTTGAAGAGTCTGGCTGGGCAATCGTTCCCCGCTGACTTGCTGCGATCAATTTGGGCCAATCGGCTTCCCCGCCGGCAGGTTCAAATTGTGTTGGCCGCACAGAAGATCCAGGACTTGACGGAGTTGGCGGAGATGGCCGACCAGTTGGTGGAGTTGACCGAGAGGCCTACCACCGTAAGCCAGGTTTCGGCGCATCATACCTTTGTGCCCACTCTCGCGTCAATGCAGCGGCAGATCGAAGAATTGACGCGAACAGTCTCAACGCTCAGAACAAACACCCATAAACGATCTGGGAGCTCACGCGTTAATCAAAAGCGGAGCTGCTCTCGATCGCGCTCACGCCCACGTAATCAGAAGCTTTGCTGGTACCACGATCGTTTCGGCAACAAAGCAAGCAAATGCATAACAGGATGCAGCTGGACTATTGAAGGAGCTACCGACCGCGCACAGTCCAGCAAACGCCTTTTTATTACCGATCAAAATACCAAAATCAATTTTTTGATAGATACCGGTTCGGACATTTGTTGTTTTCCACGAAAACTTATAAAAGGACGTTTCTCAAATACAGACTTACTCTCAATGCGGCAAATGGTAGCTCCATTAAAACTTACGGCACAGTTAATCTGAACCTCAATTTAGGACTGCGCCGTGAATTTCGCTGGGAGTTTATTTGTGCTGACGTGGATGTCCCAATTATCGGTGCGGATTTCCTAGCTTTCTTCCACCTCTTACCCGACTGCCGTAGCGGCACACTGCGCGATGAGCTTACAAACTTATCCGCATATTGTTGTAATCGCAATATAATGCAGCCAAGTATTAGGACCGTAAAAAAAACCGTCTCGCGATTCTCTGTTCAGTCAACTCTTTTTAGACTTTCCGGAAGTGACGCGCCCACCTACAGCTGACCGTCAAATAAAACACAGCACTGTTCACTATATAACGACAACTAGTGGGCCGCCTGTCACGTCGCGTCCTCGTCGACTAGCACCCAACAAGCTAAAAATTGCTGAGAAGGAATTTAATGAATGGTGTCGGCGGGTACTGCTCGCCCATCTAAAAGCCCCTGGTCGTCACCACTGCATTTAGCACCCAAAAAGGATGGCATGTGGCGTCCTTGCGGTGACTACAGGCTCTTAAACGCTCGGACAGTTCCCGATCGGTACCCTGTGCGTCATATAGGAGACTTCAGTCATAATCTGGCTGGTTCTACTATATTTAGCACATTAGATCTAGTAAAGGCCTACCAGCAGATTCCGGTAGCTGGTCCAGATGTTTGCAAAACGGCCATAATAACGCCATTTGGTCTTTTCGAGTTTCCCTATATGTCATTTGGGTTACGCAACGCTGGCCAAACCTTCCAGCGTTTCATCGATGAGATCTTGCGCGGACTAGACTTCGCTTTTCCCTACATTGACGATATTTTGGTATTCTCACGGGATGCTGAAGAGCACGCCAAACACCTGCGCATAATCCTGCAAAGACTGGTGGACTATGGCGTCGTTGTCAATGTGGATAAGTGCGTATTGGGGGCATGTGAGGTAATCTTCCTAGGTTATAAGATAACCAAGGATGGTATCTGCCCACCTGAAGAGAAGATCGCTGCTCTCCGCGAGTTATCGCTTCCCAAAACAGCTCAAGGTTTGAGACGCTTCCTGAGGATGGTAAATTATTACCACCAATTTCTTTCCAAAGCCGCCAAGCTCCAAGCTCCACTTGTGGATTTTTTAACAGTCAGCAACCTAAAAGGTTCAAAAGCTATGCCCTGGACAGCAGACTTGGAGCGTGCTTTCTACGAGTGTCGCGACAGTCTCTCAGAGGCCACCATGCTTGTACATCCGCAACGAAATGCTCGTTTAGGGTTGTACACGGACGCCTCCAGCACTCATGTCGGCGCTGCCTTACAGCAAAGGTCTGATCAAGGTTGGCAGCCGTTGGCATTCTTTAGCAAAAAGCTAACACAGAGCCAAAGTACATGGCCCGCGTATTACCGCGAACTTCTCGCAGTGTACGCGGCCGTACAGCATTTCCGGCATATACTAGAGGCACAACACGCGACAATCTACACGGACCACAAGCCGCTTCTTTATGCTTTCGTCCAACGCCGTGAAAAATTGCCCCCTGCTCAACTTAACCAACTCACGTTTATTTCCCAGTTTACAAACTGATATCAAACATGTGTAGGGGGAAGACAACGGCGTAACTGACGCAATGGTCCACTTTGAGGCTATCATGTTCGATGACGATTTCGCAGCCCTGGCAAAAGCTCAGCAGACGGACGACGAACTAAAAGCCGTAAAAATCCATTCTTCTTTAAAGATAGAGCCAACCCTCATACCTGGATCCATACCATTTGTATTTTGTATTTTGTGATTTGTCAACAGGCAAACCTAGACCCTTTATGCCAAAAACAATATCGGCAAGTCGTCTTCGATCGCCTACATGCTCTCAGCCACCCCGGCGCACGCGCTTTACCGCACGCCTCATTAGCGACCGCTATGTTTGGCCAGGCATTGCTAAAGACTGCCGCTCCTGGGCACGCGAGTGTCTCGCCTGCCAGAGCAGCAAGGTAACGCGCCTTGTCGTTTTTCACCGCTTGGCAACATTAGCACACCTTCAGGCAGATTCCGTCATGTTCACCTGGACATTATTGGACCGATGCCTTCTTCAAACGGATTCACTTATTGCCTAACAGCAGTAGACCGTTTCTCATGATGGCCCGAAGTTTGGCCCATGTCGTCGATAACCGCAGTAGAAGTCGCTGATCAATTCACCCATGGCTGGATCGCTCGCTTTGGTGTACCGATCACTGTCACAACGGACCAGGGACGTCAATTTGAGTCCCAACTTTTCAACAGACTGATGGATTTAGGAGCCACAAAACGCGCGTACTACGAGCTATCATCCCCAAGCTAATGGGATGATAGAGCGTTTCCACCGCCATTTAAAGGCCGCTTTAATGTGTCACAAGAGTTCTTGGTACCATGCCCTACCTTTCGTTCTTCTCGGAATCAGGGCGACACTAAAAAATGACATCAAAACGTCAGCTGCAGAAGTTTTGTATGGGGAGCCGCACCCTTACTCTCATCGGTCTAGCATTACCCTATTATTGACAAATTTCTATAGCAACTAGTGACAATAAAAGATTATGTTTTTCTCAACACGGCTTGTTCTTTGTACTGCATCTTAATTATTCCCTCCTGCCGGCTCCCAAACTGGTGACCCCGACGTGATGTGATAAAATATGCGCAATATCGGAGCCCACGTCGCTACGCTCTGCAGTTTCGCTCGGAAACAACAATTTCCGCGATAATCGAGGTTTGTTCCATTCTGCGACGCCGCCTAGGTACGCTTCCTTCTTTTTGTTTTTCCCTCCGTGCAGAGAAGTCTGCTAGGGAGACTAGAAAATCCAACTGCGAGTGAGACTATGGTATAGCCTGCGAGGGAGATTGTACAGAACAGCCATGAAGCTATAATCGCAACAACTGTAAACGCATCTACGATAATCTACATCGCTATTGGACTCGTATTTTGTCCATTCTATGTAGCGCTGAGCCGGCATTTTTCGCATCGAGGCCGGCCATTTTTCTTTCTCTACCGGAGCTACGTCATCTTTGACAAGGAGGAAGTTGAAAAGCGCGCCACGCGCGGCAATCACCCGCAACATTGTGTCAGGGGACTAACAGCTCTCCACTGATACTTCGCGACGGATGCTGCGTTTACACTCGTTCAAGTGAAAGTTTAGTGCTATTTTACACTTAAGATAGTATGATTTTATGTTGTATTTAGACTTACTTTACTTTTCTACCAATTTTATTATTACGTTTGCTGCGCAATACTGAAATTGTTTCGTTTGTGTATTTACCGATTTGTTCCACTGCGTGTATGTGTAAAGCGTTTTTGCGATTTGACCGTTTCTGATTTTACCTTTAAACCATGGCGAGTCAAGGAGAATCTAACGTTTCAGAGGGCCACGTTGGCAACGAGGGTGATGCTACTGCACTAGTCGGTGGCAGTCCCATTTACGTAAACAGGGTCGCAATTAGGACCCCGCCTTTTAGCAGGATCGGCCCGCATTGTGGTTTGCTAGCCTAGAGGCGCAGTTCCACATTAACCAAATTACCGTCGAAATGACGAAGTTTCATTTCGCCGTGGCGCATTTAGATACCGAGTGTACGAAGGAGGTCGAAGATATTATCACACATCCTCCCGAGTTGCAACCATACACAACTTTAAAAAGCGCAATCNTGCGATCAATTTGGGCCAATCAGCTTCCCCGGCAGGTTCAAATTGTGTTGGCAGTTCCACATTAACCAAATAGAGGCGCAGTTCCACATTAACCAAATTACCGTCGAAATGACGAAGTTTCATTTCGCCGTGGCGCATTTAGATACCGAGTGTACGAAGGAGGTCGAAGATATTATCACACATCCTCCCGAGTTGCAACCATACACAACTTTAAAAAGCGCAATCATATCTAGATTTTCCGATTCCTTCGAGGAGAAGGTGCGGCGCTTACTAGAAAAGGAACAGTTAGGTGACCGCAAGCCATCTTCGTTCATGCGACACTTGAAGAGTCTGGCTGGGCAATCGTTCCCCGCTGACTTGCTGCGATCAATTTGGGCCAATCGGCTTCCCCGGCAGGTTCAAATTGTGTTGGCCGCACAGAAGATCCAGGACTTGACGGAGTTGGCGGAGATGGCCGACCAGTTGGTGGAGTTGACCGAGAGGCCTACCACCGTAAGCCAGGTTTCGGCGCATCATACCTTTGTGCCCACTCTCGCGTCAATGCAGCGGCAGATCAGAAGAAGAATTGACGCGAACAGTCTCAACGCTCAGAACAAACACCCATAAACGATCTGGGAGCTCACGCGTTAATCAAAAAGCGGAGCTGCTCTCGATCGCGCTCACGCCCACGTAATCAGAAGCTTTGCTGGTACCACGATCGTTTCGGCAACAAAGCAAGCAAATGCATAACAGGATGCAGCTGGACTATTGAAGGAGCTACCGACCGCGCACAGTCCAGCAAACGCCTTTTTATTACCGATCAAAATACCAAAATTAATTTTTTGATAGATACCGGTTCGGACATTTGTTGTTTTCCACGAAAACTTATAAAAGGACGTTTCTCAAATACAGGACTTACTCTCAATGCGGCAAATGGTAGCTCCATTAAAACTTACGGCACAGTTAATCTGAACCTCAATTTAGGACTGCGCCGTGAATTTCGCTGGGAGTTTATTTGTGCTGACGTGGATGTCCCAATTATCGGTGCGGATTTCCTAGCTTTCTTCCACCTCTTACCCGACTGCCGTAGCGGCACACTGCGCGATGAGCTTACAAACTTATCCGCATATTGTTGTAATCGCAATATAATGCAGCCAAGTATTAGGACCGTAAAAAAACCGTCTCGCGATTCTCTGTTCAGTCAACTCTTTTTAGACTTTCCGGAAGTGACGCGCCCACCTACAGCTGACCGTCAAATAAAACACAGCACTGTTCACTATATAACGACAACTAGTGGGCCGCCTGTCACGTCGCGTCCTCGTCGACTAGCACCCAACAAGCTAAAAATTGCTGAGAAGGAATTTAATGAAATGGTGTCGGCGGGTACTGCTCGCCCATCTAAAAGCCCCTGGTCGTCACCACTGCATTTAGCACCCAAAAAGGATGGCATGTGGCGTCCTTGCGGTGACTACAGGCTCTTAAACGCTCGGACAGTTCCCGATCGGTACCCTGTGCGTCATATAGGAGACTTCAGTCATAATCTGGCTGGTTCTACTATATTTAGCACATTAGATCTAGTAAAGGCCTACCAGCAGATTCCGGTAGCTGGTCCAGATGTTTGCAAAACGGCCATAATAACGCCATTTGGTCTTTTCGAGTTTCCCTATATGTCATTTGGGTTACGCAACGCTGGCCAAACCTTCCAGCGTTTCATCGATGAGATCTTGCGCGGACTAGACTTCGCTTTTCCCTACATTGACGATATTTTGGTATTCTCACGGGATGCTGAAGAGCACGCCAAACACCTGCGCATAATCCTGCAAAGACTGGTGGACTATGGCGTCGTTGTCAATGTGGATAAGTGCGTATTGGGGGCATGTGAGGTACCAATTTCTTTCCAAAGCCGCCAAGCTCCAAGCTCCACTTGTGGATTTTTTAACAGTCAGCAACCTAAAAGGTTCAAAAGCTATGCCCTGGACAGCAGACTTGGAGCGTGCTTTCTACGAGTGTCGCGACAGTCTCTCAGAGGCCACCATGCTTGTACATCCGCAACGAAATGCTCGTTTAGGGTTGTACACGGACGCCTCCAGCACTCATGTCGGCGCTGCCTTACAGCAAAGGTCTGATCAAGGTTGGCAGCCGTTGGCATTCTTTAGCAAAAAGCTAACACAGAGCCAAAGTACATGGCCCGCGTATTACCGCGAACTTCTCGCAGTGTACGCGGCCGTACAGCATTTCCGGCATATACTAGAGGCACAACACGCGACAATCTACACGGACCACAAGCCGCTTCTTTATGCTTTCGTCCAACGCCGTGAAAAATTGCCCCCTGCTCAACTTAACCAACTCACGTTTATTTCCCAGTTTACAACTGATATCAAACATGTGAAGGGGGAAGACAACATCGTTGCTGACACAATGTCCCGCATTGAGGCTATCACGTTCGATGACGATTTCGCAGCCCTGGCAAAAGCTCAGCAGACGGACGACGAACTTAAAACCGTAAAGGTCCATTCTTCTTTACAGTTAGAGCCAACCCTCATACCTGGATCCAACATTTCCGTTTTGTGTGATGAGTCAACAGGCAAACCTAGACCCTTTTTGCCAAAACAATATCGGCGAGCCGTCTTCGATCGCCTACATGGTCTCAGCCACCCCGGCGCACGCGCTTCCGCACGCCTCATTAGCGACCGCTATGTTTGGCCAGGCATTGCTAAAGACTGCCGCTCCTGGGCACGCGAGTGTCTCGCCTGCCAGAGCAGCAAGGTAACGCGCCATGTCGTTTCACCGCTTGGCAACATTAGCACACCTTCAGGCAGATTCCGTCATGTTCACCTGGACATTATTGGACCGATGCCTTCTTCAAACGGATTCACTTATTGCCTAACAGCAGTAGACCGTTTCTCATGATGGCCCGAAGTTTGGCCCATGTCGTCGATAACCGCAGTAGAAGTCGCTGATCAATTCACCCATGGCTGGATCGCTCGCTTTGGTGTACCGATCACTGTCACAACGGACCAGGGACGTCAATTTGAGTCCCAACTTTTCAACAGACTGATGGATTTAGGAGCCACAAAACGCGCGTACTACGAGCTATCATCCCCAAGCTAATGGGATGATAGAGCGTTTCCACCGCCATTTAAAGGCCGCTTTAATGTGTCACAAGAGTTCTTGGTACCATGCCCTACCTTTCGTTCTTCTCGGAATCAGGGCGACACTAAAAAATGACATCAAAACGTCAGCTGCAGAAGTTTTGTATGGGGAGCCGCTAGGCCTACCAGGCGAGTTCCTGGTGGCTAGCAATTCCCCTCAGACCGTGGACGAAGATTTTGTTGCACAGTTGCGAAAACGGATGGCAGAACTTCGCCCCGTTCCAGCATCACGTCACATGAATTCTAAAACTTTTCAAGTTTTCAAGGACTTACCTGATGCTACCTGATGCTCCTCCGCGAAGATTCCGTTCGACGCCCTCTACAGACACCTTATACAGGCCCCTACAGAGTGTTGAAGAGATCTGAAAAGTCACTTACCTTAGACATTTCTGGCCGAAGATCTGAGGTTAGCATCGACAGAACAAAACCTGCGTATATTGCACCTGACCCAGACGGCAATCCGTCCCCTAACAACTTGGCACCGGAGCCCCCAGTCCTTCCGACTCTTTCACCTCCTATTAGCCAAACGGCCGTGCCCATTAAAACGCCCGCACAGCCTGTAACAACCCGGTCAGGTCGCAAAGTTAAATTTAAAGATATTTTAGATTTATAAGTACTAGTTTTTAATACGTTATTTTTGTTAAAGCAGAGTTTTTTCAATTTTAAGTTTCCAATGTTTATTTTTTTTTTTCGTTGTATAAATTAAAATTCCATTAGTTAAAAATTATCCTAAATAATGTTGCTTGTACTTTTATAATAACGGTGTATAATTATTTGATTGTTACATTTTATACTTGTTTTGCCTTCAATCTGTACTTATTTTTCTCCGTAGGGGGGGTGATGTGGCAACTCATTTGCTACTGTGTAGCACCGCTCTTATCTTTTACACCCTTACTCTCATCGGTCTAGCATTACCCTATTATTGACAAATTTCTATAGCAACGAGTGACAATAAAAGATTGTTTTTCTCAACACGGCTTGTTCTTTGTACTGCATCTTAATTATTCCCTCCTGCCGGCTCCCAAAGATATGTATATTTAGATATAAAGAAAAGAAGACAAAAACGAACTCTAATCGTTTTGGAAAAATGTAATAGTACCCGACAAAAAGTAAAACTTGCTGACACCAAAGCTTCATAATATTTACGCGTTAGTTAATATTTAAGTGTTATATATAATTGCTTATTGCAGTAAAATAAATAGATTTTTAATCTATGTCCGTATTTATTTTCAATAGATAATAATTTTATCAATGGGCAACAGATAAGTGGGATAAGTATTTAATTTAATCGTATCATTATCAGTACATCAGTGTTAAAAGTACTAATGTAGGAAAACTACAATGCATTTTTTATTTTGTATGGTTTTAATATTGTTTCAGATCCGTTCGTATTCTTGTGATAACACTGAAAGCCTCCATATTAAACAAGGGGAATTGTTAGGTAAAATAGAGAAGAGCACATTAAAGAATCATAAATATTATTCGTTTAAAGGCATACCATATGCACAAGCGCCGATAGGTGAATTAAGATTTAAGGTAATTATGGAATCCCTTATATATAATATACAATGCCATGTTTATTTATCATTTTATTAAAAATGAATAAGAAAACTCAATAAAGGTCCCCAATTTATAAAACTAATTTAATAAACAATCATAAAAAGAGCGCTTGCTATCTTTCATTATGTTACAGCTTAACCTAAAAATATTGGCATAATTTTTGTAAATACTTAGAATATCATAGTTATATATATCTCTTAGAATATTTTAGAATTATTTTGATTGTTTTTAGTTCTAACCAACGGCGGTATATAATGTTGATACTAGATTGGAGACGATTGTATGAATTTACTTTCTTTTCAGCCACCAAAAGAACATCAAGGTTGGAGCGGAGCATATGAAGCATTTACAGAGAAACCAACATGTTTTCAATACGTTTCCCGAATAAGAAACTATGAGACCCGTGGTATATCAGGTTCCGAAGACTGCCTGTATCTGAATGTGTTCACGCCGAATATCACGGGTTCGGCGCCGGTCGTCGTGTTTGATTACAATGACAACTTTCGGTCTGGATTTAACGGAACTAAGACGTACTCTCCAGATTTTTTTATGGAAGAAGACGTGGTGGTGGTAATGATTAATCACCGTCTCAGAGTATTTGGCTATTTAACCACTGAAGACGATGTGATACCCGGGAACAACGGTCTGCGAGACTTCATTATGGGACTGCAATGGGTGAAAAACAACATCGGAAGCTTTGGCGGAGATGCTAGTCGCGTTACTTTAATGGGGAGTAGCGGTGGCGCCATATTAGTAGATATACTTTTGTACTCGGTGAAGGCGAAAAACCTATTCAGTGCTGCAATCTTACAGAGCGGAACCTCTATGCAGTCGTTCTGTTTTTACGATAGGCCGAGAGAGGCAGCGTTTAAACTAGGAGAATTAGTGGGCGTAAACACTACTGATAGTGTGACTTTATTAAAGGGCCTACAGGAAATCGATGCAGAGAAATTGATTACGGAAGAAGGCAATGTTTTCGATTACAACGAGTTTGAATTGACACAAATCCTGGTCCAGCCATTTTCTCCGACTATAGAAAGGGACAACCAGGATGCTGTTTTGACATTTTTACCGGAAAATGGGAGAGTCGTAAACGATGTCCCTGTTATAATAGGTTTGAATTCAAGGGAAGGTTTAGACTTAGTGTCGCATTTAATTTATCAGCCGAGGTTGCTTACGGATTTACATCAATTCTTCTTTCATTTACCGAAAAGAACGGACTTTCGCTTTGACCGAAACAGCAGCGTATACGAAGACGCTATAAAGGAAATTCAAAACTTCTACCTCGAGGAGGGATACCTGTATTACAACAATATTCTAGAATACGCCGTGTATGTCGGGGATGTACTGCAAAACTATGCTCTAAATTACGCAGTCGGGAAGTTATCCCAGGAGCGCAAATCTGAAACATTTTACTACATGTTTGACTTTAGAGGTCTGTTAAATGGAAACAGCGAAAACATGGCTCGTTACGCAGTGAGCTCGATGGAACACTGGGGGGCGACAATCATCGACGAATTATGTTATCTCCATCTGTGTTCTTACCTAAAAACAAGTTACACCAAACTGTACCAGCTGCCTAGTGAGCAACCCGAATTCAAAGTTTTAAAGAATATGGTACGCTTATGGACAAATTTTGCAAAATACAGGTAAGCTACTTTGTACCACACATACATATATGTACAGTAATGACTGAAATGCACCGTTACTAAGCTATTTGGCTTCGGCATCGGGGTTCGTGGGTTCGATTCCCAAACGGAACAAATATTTGTGTGACCCACAGATAATTGTTCCGGACCTGGGTGTTTGTTTTATTATTAATTAATCATAATATCAATATGATTGCCAGTCTGATCTTTTGATTTCGGGTTAAAATTTCAAATGCATACGACGCAAAGGTTTTATATTTAAACTAGGGAAACATTTTTTTTGGACGTTGTTCACAAACATATTATCACATATTAGTAGGCTTCTTGAACTCAGAATTTGGGAGAAAAACATGACAATTTGTTTATTTAATTTACACCTACGAATAATCTCCTGTTCTCTTAAGACTCTTAGCATTCGATATTAATAACTCAATAACAGACTACATGTTTTTGTCGCTTTATTCAATTAAGAAAATTTTGTTATTATATATCGTTTAAGGAACCCATCCCCTGACATCAGCGATACTTTACTCAAGGACTTTGTATGGCAGCCTGTTAATAAAGAAGCTGGCAGTAAAAACTATCTTCATATCACGAAAAAACTTCGGATGAGAGAAAACCCTTTGGGCGAACGGATAAAGTTCTGGGATGACTTCATGAATAAATATTCAGCGTTAGCTCAAGATGGCTTAGTAACAGATTATAGTCACGATGAACTGTGAAATATTATAGTTCAAAGAATTGATATAAGTGTTTTCGATAAACGTTTGCTCAGCCGTTTTGTTAACTTAATGATCAAAAGAAACTTGTGTCTCTTCATATAAACTAGACGATAATATCTACTAAACTATATCTATTAAATTATGTTTAATAGATATGGTTTAGTAGATATCTAATAATTTCATTTAAAGTAATTTCGATTTAACATATGCCCGAGTTAAACGAAAAGCTATTAATATTAAACGTATTAATATTCGAACAAGTAAATAATTATTCTGGACTTTATTCACAATGTTTACACTAAAATCCCAACATATATTTACAATTTTTATAGCTTCTTACATTTATATGGTGAATGAACTGGACGGGTATTTAGTACAACGCCTGTCATTATACTGCAGCACGAGTTATGAGAAAGTATATTTGCTATTTAAAAAGTTATTGATGGTTTATTTTATTTTAAAAAATAATTTCATATTAAAATAGAATAAATCAATAATTCTATAATTCTTTGTTTTTCATTAGTACCTTTCAAACGGAACTATAATAATTTATGTGTTTGTGTGTGTAAAAATTCCCATACAAAATATGACCTTAAAATATAGTATATTATTAATTTTATAAATAATAAAAGTATACAATAAAAAATATCTATGCATGTCAGCCGCAGTAAAACGAAGGTTACCCACATAGCTCAGACGATAAGTAAGCTAAAGTAGCAATGGTTTGACCATATAGCTCGAAGAACCGACAGCAAATAGCAGATATATTATCTACTTTGTGGCAGATAGAGAAAAATGGTTCTTATGTGCTAGCTAAACATTGGTCATCGTAGTGTAAAACATCCACTAGATGGAGTGACGTCCTATGAAAATGTCCGAGAAGTCGATACATGCAAGTGGCATCTGAATCGTGCTTCGTGGCAGTCTGTGTGGGATTCCTAGGTTTAGCAGTGGACTAGAACAGGCTGAAATGATGGTGATGACGATAATAAAAAAAAAATAAAGAATATAAAAAAGTATATAAGCCAATTAATAAATACGTTTAATTACCTTATAATAAGATACCTAACTGAAAATAGAAAAACGTGCATGGTCACGGAACAGGCTGAGGCTGCCCTAAGTTCCCTTAAAAAAAGTTTCATTTAGTACTGTACTACAAGAAGTTATCACGTAAAATTGTAATTATCTTAAACTGGTCTACCCATGTGTCATATCTTACATAAATATATAAGTATGTGATAATTCTCAATGTAAGTCAAGGTCAATCTAGATTTTATGATTTTTCTACATTCACGGAAAAGCATATCTATTTCAATTAATTAATATTTGTAACGTAAGGACAATTTAAATGTTTAAATGTCATACCTGTAATCACGTATAATGACAGTGGTAACTACTTTGGAAGACCGACCGGGGCCTCTTTAAGAAATAACATACCTAGTTTCTAACTATGTATGTTATTTCTTAAAGATCTGAAAGCAGACACCAGATTAAAATTTGCTGAGCAAATCAAAGTAATCTCACGTGTTTACCTTGAGGTCAACCTCGGTTCGTCTCGTTTAGTACTAGTTTAATGGTGTTTCCATTACGCGCCAAGTAAGCTGTCCTTAAACAAATACAAAACTCTAAATGAAGAAAATTTTACTTTTTTTTTTTTTTTTATTTACTAGCGACCCGCCCCGGCTTCGCACGGGTGCAATATATTATACATATAAACCTTCCTCTTGAATCATTATCTTGTTAAAAAAGAACCGTTGCGTAGTTTTAAAGATGTAAGCATACATAGGGACAGACAGACAGCGGGACGACTTTGTTTTATACACTTTGCCAATTACAGTGATGCCTGTTCTTATATTAATAACAACTGTAAGGTCATTGTATCATTTACTGTAATATTTAATACAAAGCTCTTATTGAACGTAAAAAAAACTACCACTGGTTTACTAATTCAGACCTGTCCAAAGAAGCAACGGAAAGATCCTCTGCGATCTTGTTTTCTGCTACATAAAATGATAGAAATTTGTAAAGTATCAAATCAGGAGCAATCAGAGGACTTGAGCTCAATGTATATACAGTAGAACCCGCTAAATACGATTTCTCATTCTCATTTTACGCCAGTCCCTGAGACATTTTCATACATTTCTTAACGCTAAATACGATTCGTTATCCCGTTATTTAATACGCCAACACGGTCAGGTAGCGGTCAACTGGCTGAAGAAATTAAAGAATAAATAAAAAATAATTAATGGCAGGTGTGCATATAATGAAGTAAAAGGTAAAATAGTGAAAAATTAGAAAAAAAGTTTAGTGGAATGGCATCATCGAGCACGAGCTTTAAAACTACTCAAAATGGCCCTTTAATGGCCCGCGAGAAAGCGTGTGAATTTGCTGAAAGCTTACAGATCACCGATTTTAAGGCTTCATATAACTGGATAGTTATAAAAATCGCCACGGCATTGTGTACCGTCAAATCGGTGGGGAATCGGAGACAATTGCCACTGATTCCGATTCCACAACAAGATGTTGATACATGGATGACAAGACTTCCCGAATTCTTGCAAAGTTACAAATCGTGAGCCATTTTTAATGCAATCTTGTAATTGCTAATGCTACTATTCTCTATACTATTTATCACTTATTTTGGTTTGACAGGCAGACTTCGATAGTCTGCCTGTCAAACCAAAATAAGTGATTACTTTTAATAACGTAATTATAATTACACTATGTATTTAACGTAATTTATGAATATATAATTAAATATCCGAAACTAGAACATAATACATAGTAATATGTAATAGTAGGTTTTATTTTCACTATCCCGCAAAATACGCTTTCTCCCTTAAGACGCGTCTTTGGTTAGATGCCTGTGAAATCGCCTTAAACGGACTTTACTGTATATATTCTTCGACATTATCTAATCGGGCCATAATTTTTGTAAAATAATGAGAACTAAAAATTTAAAATTTTGAATGCTAGCCACAAAAATATTTAGTGAAATTGGATTTCCAATGTTTTATGAAAACAAAAATGATCACTTGTGTATGAGAAATGAGTTTTTTCCAATGATACTATATACAAATACGAGGTAGAAACCACTTAAATACGAGTATGTCATAATTATAATATAAAGTGGAACAATTTTTAAATGCCGCGCAGTACGGACATGCGTCACCTATATTATTAAACATTGTTGGTGTTTTTCTCTGAAAAAAATTTAAAAAATAACTCTTTAGGCCACTAGTTACAGTAAAGTTACTATTTATTCAGTTTGAATTATTACTTTACTTACTATATACTATAACTCACTCTCACAGCGCTTTGAGGCAAGTTTGTATCGGACGACTGTTGCAAAGCTTGTTTGCATGTATGGAGTACACGCTATTAATATGTGGATATAGTGTTGACGCAACGTTCCAGACAGGCAAGTACACAGCATTCGATCTCCTTGTTGAATCGCTTTTTCGAATACCGAGTTGAGGGAACTTTCTCTACAAGCCACTACGATCATAGCGTTTCTCAAGGCCAGCTTCGCTCCATTGCTCTTTTTGCTCTACAACATCGACATCCCTAAGGATACAAAAGTCGGTCTCGCACTTTTCGCGAACGGCGCTACTCCCTTCTAATTGGACAAACACCTTGCCACCACAGCACCGTCAACCACGTCTATTTATCACTGGTTTCACACATAAAGAATAGACAGAAAACCCCGAGAAGAATTTTGCAATACTTCATTCGAGCCTGTCTCGTAGCCAACTCCAGACCCGTGCTCAACCGAACCCTAATCACATTAAACGGCCAACCGATCCCTTGGGAAAAGGATGTGAAGTACCTGGGAGTCACTTTTGACTAAAATGGAAGAAAAGCGAAAAAAAATATTTTCATATTTGTCATGTTTTTCAATATCTACAGATACGTCGGCATTTGTAAGATGTTATAATATGTATTTGCATATTGTAACTATGACTCGTCATTTTTTCAAAATTGTTTCTTGCCATAAATCACTTCAACTCCTGACAACTTTTCAGGGCCGCGCCGACACCCCACAGCGCCTGTGTGCGAAACCTATGAAGCGCCTCTTTTTTCACGAATCTTCATGTATCAACTTATGTTTTTTTTATCATTTGTTAATTTTGTCCGAAATAAATGAAATAGATATTATTTTCCTAAATAGGTAAAACCAGTTTGCTTCCGCTTCCCAATAATTGCTGTGAAAAATAAAACACGAGTTTAATTTTTACGTACTTTATTTATGGTGTTATATCTAATTGTATACTTAGATATTAGGAGGTTTCAGTTAATAAAAAGTAACTCTAGTTACGCCAACTTCATCAATAGGGTAGAAAAGGTGCGCTTTTTGGCGTTTTTAAGAGTAAGATAAAACAGCCGATACATACCTATGTCCCATTATTGGGTTAGACCCTCCCCCTACAGCTGAATAAAGCTTGTGCGTGGCCCACCCACAGTAATTGTTTTTAAAGTATAAATTAATAAGCAGCGGCCGCACGCCATGGTTGTTATAATAATAACTCAAAATTATATAAAATATTCTATACGATCACACCGTACCTGAGGGATTAATTAAGTTTTGTCTTTTTGTTTATAAAAGTAGTTTTAATATTTATTTAAATACTACCGATAAAGTATATATATTTTAATAAAGTATATCTATACTATAATAAAAGAGTAGAATCGGCGTGTCTGTACATTGAATATATTTATGAAAAAATGAAAAAGGGTATCATAAAAAGTGTTAAAAATAAAAAATACAAAATAAAAATAGCCTTTATTTACTTACTACTTTTTAACTATATATCTTATTAATAATAATATTATAATTATAATATGCTAGTCGTAGTCGCCTCTGCGGCGTAGGCCTCTCCTAAACCTTTCCAAACATCTGTTTCCCGAGCTATTTGCATCCAGTGGTTACCACACATGTGGCTGAAAGCGTCTCTCCATATTTTACCAGGTCGCCCTTTTCTCCTCTTCCTGTCCCT